TATATAATGACAAAGGGGTCAGTTCAGCAAGAGGATATAGCAATTATATTTGCACCCCACGCTGGAGCATCCATATATATAAAGCAAATATTATTAGAGCTAAAGAGAGAGACCCCAATAAATAATAGCTGGATACTTCAATACCCCACTTTCACCATTAGACAGATCTTTCAGACAGAAAATCAACAATGAAATGTGAGATGTAGTCTGCACCATAGACCAAATGCACCTGATAAATATTTACAGAACACTTCAACAGCTGCAGAGGGATGTTCTCCTCAGCTCATGGAACATTCTTAATAATAGACCATATGTTATATCAGGCATCTTCTCTGACCACAATGTAGTAAAATGAGAAATTAATAACAAGAAGAATTTTAGAAACTATACAAACACATGCAAATAAAACAATATGTTTCTGAATGAACATATACCAATGGCAATACCAATCCATGGCTAGGTCAAGAAAAAAAGAAATTTAGAATTCCTATCGAAATACCAATGATATGCTTCAAATACATTGAATTAATAATCCTAAAATTTACATGAAACCATAAAAGGCCCATAATAGCAAAATACATGTTGCACAAAAAGAACAGAATTGGAGTGGTCATTTTACCTGACTTCAAATTATAGTTCAGAGCTATAGTGACCAAAACAGCATGGCACTGGCATAAAAACAGACGCACAGCAATAGAACAGAATATAAAACCCAGAAATAAATCCATATATCTCTAGTGAACTCATTTTCAACAAAGGCACTAAGAACATACAATGGGGAAAGGACAGTTTCGTCTTTAGATGGTGCTGGGAAAACTGGATAGCCATATGCAAAAGAATGAAACTAGACCCCTGTCTCCTATCAAATACAAAAACCAAATCAAAATTGATTAAAGATTGAAATCTTAGACATAGTTTATGCCTAAACTAAGCATAGGCAATCAAAGCAAAAATCTACAAATGAGATCAGAGCAAGTTAAAAAGCTTCTGCACAGCAAAGGAAACACCAAAGTAAAGAGACAGTTTACATTATGGGAAACAATATTTGCAGACTATCCATCTGACAAAGGATTAATAACCAGAATATATAAGGGGCTCAAACAATAGGGAAAAAAATCTAATCATATTTTTAAAAATGTACAAAAGATTTTAATGCACATCTCTCAAAAGAAGACATACAAATGGCAAACAGGTATATGAAAAGGTGCTCAGCATCACTGATCATGAAAGAAATACAAATCAAACCTACAATGAGAAATCTTCTCACCCAGTTAAAATAGCTATTTTTTTTTTTTTTTTTTTTTTTTTTTTTTTTTTTTTTTTTTTTTTTTTTTTTTTTTTTTTTTTTTTTTTT